ACTAATGTGTTGGAAATAATTATTTCAATATAGCAAGACATAGAAACATCTATATCATTCTCAAAACTTAATATTATGCACCCAACTATCATGAAAACCGCAGATTTCTTTACGGAATTACAAAAGATTCAAAGGAAATTAAAGGGCAGCCGTTTGCCACTTGAAGTAACTTTAGAAAATATTTTGTTATATGAAAAACTGATAAAAATCGAGAGTTACGTATTTAATAACAAAATAACTTATATAATTAAAATTCCCTTAACAACTATTGAAAATTTTGACTATTACCATTTGTACCAGTCGAGAAACAGGGTCAGTTAAAAGCAGTGATTCCAAAAAAAATTACCTAATAAAAGATAACTTCAATTACGCATTTATGAGCAAGCCTTGCCTTAAGCTACACCCAGCCACATCATATATTTGCGGCGAAACTAACCTCCAAGAGATCAAGAAAGAAAATCCATGCGAAATAGCCCTCTTAAATTTTCAAAACACCTCCACATGTCAGTAAACACGAATCACAACAAAACAACTTCTGTTCGAAAGATTAAATCGAACAAATCAATGGATAGCAACTTTCCTATCAAAGGAACCAATCACCCTCCAATGTCATGATCAAACAGAAGTCATTGAAGCCATAGGCAGTTACCTCATTCAAATTCCAGTCGGCTGTTCAGTGTCCACAAAATAACATAAACTGCAAATGAATAAAACTTTCAAACTTCAAGTCAACCCATGTTGTTTCCCGGACTACAATTCCAAAATTCTGAATCGTCAAAATTAAATCTAAATCTGGAATTAGAAGAAGTCAATCTAGATGAACTACACCAAATTAAATCAAAATTCGTCGAAAATGACCAAGTTCCAAAGAGTGCCCTACACCCCCAGTATATGGACAATATTGTTTTTTGGTCCAACTAACAGGAGTTTTTATTGTCAGAAAAATCTCAACCTATCGTAAGCCAGCAAATCAAGAAGAAGTACCAGTAGACCATACCACCGTTCAACTCCCTTGCTAACTCTTTGGAGTTGAATCTTCGAGGGGAGGAATTATATCAGCCCTAGTATCAGTGACTTCACGATCCTTCAGATGTTGGCGTTATCCGAGTTCCTAGTTTCCAGGAAACCGCTGATTAGGACTTTTATCATTTTATCTAACATCATTATGTACTTATCATTCTTGTAGACAAGATCGTAGTTTGTAGATTTTTTACTATTTTTAATTTGAAAGTTTATTTTTAGGAGGATTGGTTCTTTCTGGGCCGTTATATTTTTATATAAATACCTACAGTGGTACTCAGGTACGTAGGTACTTTACAAAATGTTTTTTGAGTTATTTGAAATTGTTATGTAATTGGTAGAGTTATCTGTTTGAGTAAATTAACAGCAATGTATATAACAAATATTTTTCAAGGTCTATAAATTACCCAACGGTGCGCTCATCAGAATCTTGAAGGGGATTAAAATAAGGTAGCCCATTGTTACGTTCCACAAAAACCGGGCGGCACAGGTAAAATTCTTAAAATCAACACACCTTATAAATGCCGTCTGTTTAAAATAACAGACTTTGTTTGAGCCGCCTGTGCTGTAAAACACCCATAAAACACCCAAATTTTGAGCCGCGACTTTGTCGATAGAAGTTTAAGTTTCAAATTAAGTGTTGGATAGTAAAGACAAATTGTAATACATAAATTAGAATTTTGGATTATATTAGTGCCTAAGTTTTATATAAATTAATTAGTGCGTTATAAATAAATTATAAATAAAGTGTTTTAAATAAATGAACTATTTTTAAATTATACAAACGTTACAATATTTTAAATGAACAAAAACAAATTTAACATGAAAAATTAGCTAGAAATAATAATATGAATAGTGAGGGAATTTCAATTCATTATAAGTGGACCTTTTTTGTAAGTTTCGTCATAAGTAGTGATTTTTAAGGGTTGAAACATTAAAATAGATCATAACTTACGTTCAATATTATAAAATATATATTTCTAAAAATATTTGGATATTATTTTAATCCAAGTAACGCTTAAGTATATGGTTTTCATATTTTTCGTCAAAAGGGGTAGTTTTCAACCCATAAAAATAAAAGCGTGGGTACATCAGAAATATGTAATTTTTGAAGAGTAGGGCGAGATAGACTTGATTACAAATTTTCATCCAAATCGTTGTAGTCTGAAAGAATTCTAAGGTAAATAGCAGAGCTGGGTAATTCCTAGTTAAAAAGTAATCAATAATTACAATTACTTTTTTTTCATGTAATTTGTAATTGTATTTAAGTACTTTTCTCTCTCAAAGTAATTTGGAATTGTAATTGCAACAAAATCTGTGGAGGAATTATACTTTGTAATTATATTAATTTATATTATTTATATTATCTAAATATAATTACTTGTCATAAGTACGATTACTTTTCCAATTACAATTACTTTTTTCCAATTACAATTACATTTATAAGTACAATTGCATTTTTTAATTACAATTACTTTTAAATGCGTGTTTGTGAGATGCACGTGATATAAAAACAAACAATTTCCTATTTGAGGAAAGCATTGGGCCATGAAGCAGTGAAATTGTTCAACCCAATAATTAGATGCAGATATCCTTATTTTTAAGACGTATTTTGTATTTATATTAATATAAACATAATTTACATTAAATAAACATTATAAACTAAGGAAATATAGTATGAAGTGGTGCACATAGCTGTTTTTATGATGTAAATACTAAAAACTACTTATTTATGTTGCGTAGGTATTTCTAGTTATTATTCTAGTTTTCTACATTGAAATTAAGGATTAACTATTCTAATAAACGTATTTTAAGTTACTTTAGCGTTACAAGTATTTGATTTTAACGTAGAAAATGCAATATTTTAATAAAATTAATAGCACTTGTAACGGAATATAAATATATTTTTTGTTATAAGAAATTATTTGGTAATGTAGATCTATAACTAAATTTGAGTAAAATGTGTCTTATTTTTGTTTATACGAACGAGATACAGAACGATAAATTTTAGATTATTCAATATAATTTTAATATTATGTACAGGGTGATTCATTAAGGGTGGCGACCGGCCGTATCCTAGAATATCTTGAAGTAGATTTTTTTTAAAGGAACGCAAAAACAGGTCGATTTTTATTTCAATGGGGACACCCTTCTATAATATCCTCAACTGTCACATATCATTCCTCTCGCCTACGTCAATTTAACCAATACAATAGGGAAAGTACCAGCAATATAACTGTTCATTGCGTTCTTTTTAATTTTAGCGCCCTCTAGCAGGATAAAAAATTATTACCTATGGTAAAGTGGGACACTTCATTTGAAAGCTAATTTTATTAGTACTACAACCAAAGATATTATAAATAAAGACCTTTTTTGATTTCAATGAAGGCGTAACACCTTCGGTTGTACAAAAAAAGGGGTTCAGTTAGAAGTGTTATGAAAAGTAACAATGTTAACATTTTATGAATAATTATAATTAGATCTTGTAAATCAGGCCTCATTACTTTTTGCCTGTTGTAGGGTTGCCAGACGTCACGCTTTAGGCGTGGCAGCCACGCTTTTTGACTTGCCAGCACGCTTTTTATGCAAATTCCACGCTTTTTGAAAGCCGCAGAGGAATCGGATTTATACAAAAATAGAGCAGGTAAAAGACCCTCGTTTTTACAAAATATAAGTGGAGGATATATATTTTTTTTAGAAACAAAGCATGGATCTGATTATATAAGAATGCTCTACTTACTCGTTTTACAAAAAAGACCTGATTATATAAAAATGCTCTATCGTCACGGTTAACACGCTCTTCACTTCCAGAAATGTGGCAACCCTACTGTTTGATGAAAAGTAAAAAATAATAATTTTACACCAAATATTTTTATTACATTCTGTGGTTTACTCTTGTTAAAAAAATATGTTTCAAGGTTATGATATTTGAAAAATTAGTTTTAAACTTTTATGAAGTATCCTAAACTTAAGTGTCAAAAATAAAAAGGAATCACAATTTTTAATGTAAATAAAATGTTTAGTGTTAACTATTTTATCTTTTTGATTAAACGGTCCCAGACTACTGATGCCCGATTTGTATGGTATGATTAGGTAAAATATAAAAGTACCTATACGTAGGTACACGAACTTATGTATTTTTGTTCCAAATTAATAACCTTTTAAAAGTTCACATCTTATTATTAACCTACCAGTTCCATTTTTTATACTACTTATCGATTTTGTCTTTTCCCTTAAGTTAAAAAGACCTTAAATGGTATAAAAAAACAATACAATTAGGGCTGATTGTATAAAATTTAAAATTAAGCCCAGTTTTAGGTAATACATGTCAATTTTCGAATCTATATGTGCAGTCTAATGTTTGGGAAAACAAGCTCTAAGTGCTAAATGGTGTTTAGGCTGTACCTATACAATACAAAATTTGTCATGTGTCACCTCAAACCGAGTTTAACTTTAAGTAAGATTTATACAACCCGCCCTTAAGATATCTCTAACTTTAAGGAATTCTTAAGAAACTCATTGCAAACGGCTGTTAGTTTGACATCTTGAATTATCTATTTAAAAATTTTATTTGTACTGGTCCGGTTGGTTCATGGTTCCTCAATTCTATTATAATTTGTTGTTTTATCGGCAAAGTAATTATAAAAGTAATTGCTAATTAGTTTTTCATGTAATTATAAAAACTTAATATAATTCCTATTTTTACAACATGTACTTTGTACTTGTAATTAATTCCTTTTTTGAAAAAATACTTTGTAATTGTAATTATTTCTAAAGAACATGTAATTACCCAGCTCTGGTAAATAGCCTATTTTACTATCAAACACTGGACTAATTTTTTTTTTTTTTTCAGGAAACCCAATCTTTTGGAGATACCTTGTACCTATAGAGACTCAAATTTCGTCCACACTGTAGCTATCTCGGGAGAAATACTGATATTATAGTGAACTTAAGAATGTAAAACATTCAAATTTACTCACCCCAACTGGTACCAGTCCTTCCGAAAAACTGCTTAGTTTCCGGATCGTAAATCACCTTCTTGATTCTCTCCTTCCTGGTCAATTTGATTTCGTTCAATTTTAAAAAATATTGCGTTTGAACGTTCAACAATTCATCCTGTTTGCTCAGGCTTCGCGATATTTGCGACGCCTGCGACATTTTCTTTTTGCTAATCGGCATCTTCGCGATTTTCCTAAAATTTTCCTTCTAGGTCGAATATTTCACTGGTCACTTTTTTCCTTAAGACACGCTACGGAGACTATTGAGAGCATTTCAAATCGTTGAAAAGGTCCGTTGTCAAGTGGACAGTAGGAGGGCCCCGGATATTAGCGATTTTGTACGTGAATAAATACATCCTTATCAGCGGTCCTCTAAAGTTATGTAACAACTTTTTTGTACATTTGATGCATGTGGTGTGGAATTATTTACCATAGAAATAAATACGAACTCAAAAAATAGTTTATATAACTAAAAACAGAAAACGGGTGGAGGAAAAATGGGTGTGAATGAAATACTTCCATAGGCGTGCGTAAAATTGAGATTAGTTTTTTACCGTAAAAAAACGGGTCGCCCATCACAAGTTTTAGGCATACAACTTCGCGTATTAAAAAGGATATTAACGAATTAACGAGAAAATTTCAAAGAAATTACACTAATGTAGAAAAAAGTATCAGTATCAAATAAACGAGTAATCAAAAAATTGGGTTAATAATTACAAATTGTGTAAGGTAAATTTAAAATTTTTCTTGTATTGATTAATATTTGAAAGGTCCACCTTTTTCTTATTTAGCCGCTGCTTACACACCGTCAGAAAAAAATCACTTAGGATGGGCTAAAGAGCGCCTTGTATGGATTTTTCAACAAATTTGTTTAGGAGACAGTACAAAGCATGTAAATAGAACATCTGCAGAAGCTAAAGGTACTATTTGGGAACGCGAGACCGAGTAAAGCGACAGGCGTAAAGCGACAGCCTAAGGCGACCGAAAACGGCTTCTTTACATCTATACACATATAATTATATGAAAAACATTTGGGACAGCGCGACCGATGGAAGAGAGTCGACAGCAGTTTTAACACGGTAGTATTTGCTGCTTGCTTCCAGTCGCCTGTCGTCTTACTAGTTCTCGCCTTTCCAAATGTTACCTCTACAATTCCAACTGTCCAGTTGCATCAGTTATGGTCTGGGGATGCATGGGTGCAAGGGATGTAGGCCCACTACATCTTTTAGATGGATAGTTTGTTGCCATCACTTGATCTTCAAACCTGTAATGGGCACTACGTTTTTCAATAAGGTAGTGCTGTCTATTGTAACATTTTTAAATTCCAGTTAAAAATGTTATTTTAATTGTGTGACATGCTGTATAAAATAGTATTCGATTAATTTAAATTTAATTATCGCCGCACGCAATATTCCTAAGAAAGGGAAATTTCGTGAAGTGGGAGTACAGTAAAGCAAACGATTTCGCCATTAAATTTTGAAATTTCATTTATCGATATTATCTCCTAGTATCTGCTAGTGTTTGGCTGTACAAGTGGTGAGTAAAAAAGTATAATCTCGTTGTAAAAATATCTCGGTAGAAATAATATTTCAACCTGTTGTTAGTTATAAGTTTTTTTCAAAATGTTTGTATATTTCATTTTGGTTGCTGGAATTGCACAGTGTTTATAGTAATTAGTTTTTATTGTATCTTGATTTAATTTTAAAAAAGCAGATGTTTCAAATTTAATTTATATCTCATACAAGAGCCACGTGAAAAAACAGAATTTATTTTTTGTTTAGAAAACGGATAAGAGCAGCTAAAAGTTAAAAGCTAGAACTAGAACAAGAAAGAACGAGATATGGTGTTTGTGCTCGAGTAGCAGAATTAATTATAGAAAGAACGAGATTTGGCGTTCGTGCTCGAGTAGCAGAATTATGGAAATGACGAGATTTGGTGTTCGTTCTTGAGTAACAGAATTATAGTTCAACTGCATCCCAAGGAAGTTGCCACCCAAAATCAAATAGTGGTAACTAAATAGTGGCTAATTTTATTACTGGAGATATAAAAGTTAATTTACCAGCTTAAATTTAATATTTACTTGTTCCTTAACATTTTCACTTTTTACTGAATAAACTAATTCATTTTTATAAATATATATGTTGAATCTTTTTTTTTAAAGGTTACAAAAATTCTCTTTTGCCTAAATTTTATATAAGTTTTAATTAATTTCCTTTTGATAAAGCTGGAGTTTATAATTCTCACTGGCTTCCTAAAAATAAAAAAAAGAATTATTGGCGCCCCTCTCCCCCAGAAAACTATTATCCCCAAATGTGTCTATTAGAAAAGCCAAATTCACGATTGAGAAAACTATATGGTCAATGTGCTCATTTCTTTTTAATTTGATTAAAGGTAAGTAATGTTTGGTGTTAAATTTCTATGAGCTAGTCAAAATTTCTTATGTGTTTTGAAATTAACATTTTATTGCAAAGTAACGCCGACATATTACAAATTGGCGCTCCAACGTGTCAAGCTATTACACTATCACACGGCAGTAACTATTAAAATCTAGTTTAGATTACATGATATGTTTGTTCTAGAGTGGCCCTCCAGCAGCACAGATTTGTTTCCAATTGAGAATATCTGGCACAACATATACTGTTATTTCTAAATAAGTCTCGCATGTTTTAATTGATAAATTATCAAATTTTATCTATATAAAATGCAATGACTCAATTCGAAAAGATTTGTTAAATGGTGAAATGGTGAAAGTACCATTTTCTGTCTAATTTTTTTTTGTTTTTTGAATTATACCTAAATATAGTAGTTAAGAGCAAAATAAAACACAGTTAACAGATTTTTTAGTGTTATAATACAAGCCTAAAGGGAGATTTGGGAATGTATGAGATTTCCACCACATCCTTTAATTTCGACTTTCCCCTTTTTATTTTGCTAACAGTACCATTTATCGAATTAAATTACCGGTTTTGAGCTTACATTAAATTGTAATTAGATGAAACAAAATGGATTCTATGTATTTTGAGGTGATCTTTTCGAAAAGAGCCAAAACAAAATGTAGCAGCTTTTCGAAAGTGCCGAAATTTTGGATTTTGTCAATTTTTCAATTTTGCGCATGCGCATGTCGCAAATAAATCAATATTTTTAAAACGCAGTTTACGACAGTTGAAAGCTTAGAAAAAATGCTAATTTTTATGTCTCCTGAGAAATTTTGATCGGATGCACCGTTCTCGCGGTATGGACGATTGAAATTTGTTTATTATTTTGAGCCGGCGAAGGTCGAAAAATTGAATTTGTTAAATGTTCAAACACTAAATTCTTCATAACTTTGGTAAAAATTAAGATATTTGAAGAAACAAAAATTCGTTTTGAACTTAAGGGATGTGACTATTGATTCCCAGAAGGGGGCAAGAGAAATTCCAAAATTGGGCATATGGCGGAAGGGCAAAGTGTACCGCAAGCCTAAGTTCATTGTTTGCCTATAACGGCCAAACTATTTAAATTTATTTAATGCCACTTACAGAGCTTACTCTTAAATATGAAATCTTATACGTGTATGAATTTTACCGAAATCGGATTATAATTGGCCAAGATATCAAACAATTTATCAATTTTTTTTTCCAAAAAAAAAAAACTAAATTTTTTTTCGAAAGTTTGAAGTGGCACAAAAATGCTAAAAATGCACCCAATGACTCAAAACTTTTTTTTTGAATACTCTATTATGTTTAGAATACGATTACATTACGGAAAATTCTGCAAAAATATTTTATCTATTTTTTTGACCACTGTTCATTGAGTGACGACCAAAAAACACGGTTTTTGAGAAAAGTTACCTAAAATTGACGATTTTCAGTTTTTTGGTCTGAAAATTGAGCAAACCCAAATCTCATGTCTTCTCAATGTGTATACAAAGTTTAAAGTGTGTATGTTTCTTCTAAGTTGTAGAATTCTCCCGACAAAAGTCCCATTATACGCGTTCCGCGGGATCCAAAACTCGTGCATTTCTGTAAATTGGTTTTTTTGTGATTTCCCGTTTTAAATTTCTTACATACCTAAATTTATTAGGCCTAAAATTTATTAAATTGTATTTTACTGACTTGTTATAAGACGTTTCTTGAGTTTTGTGCAAAAAATAGAATTACCGCAAAATTAGCCGGACGTCGTATCAAGGATAGTCATGGTCTCGACGTTCGCTATCCGACAAGTTTAAACTTGAAACGATCATATTATTACAAATTGAATGCTTGATAGTGTATATCGGCATAGATTTTTAATAACCGTGTTCAGCAAGCTCTGTGTACACGTGGTTTTTCCGACTTCTTCAGCAATTTATTAAGTAAGTACGTTCTTAAATTAAGAAAATTCTATCATAGTGCTATAATTTTTTTGTTTCCAGGTTGCAATGGCTGGACTGTGTTTATTATGTCATCAGAAACTTGCAGAGGGTGAACTTACCCCAATTAGACCGATAGGATTGAAAGGTCTGCAGATGGTCAGCAAAGAGAGAGGGGATGATTTTTTCAGTTCTTTAGAACTACGTTTTATATTGCATGAAAGGTGTCGCAAACATAACGTAGCTCGACGTTACGGAAAAGAGTTTATTTATAAAACCTGGGATAGGCATAAAAGGGCCGCGATTGACAATGTCAAAAAAAGGAGAATGGAGCATCAACCGAGAAGAAAACCAGATGTTAGAGAACAAAAAACAAGCTTATTACCAAGTTGGAACTTACACTCAAGCTTAGGATTAATTTTTAAAGTATACCTTCTTGTATATTTTTTTGTGCTCTTTCCAATGGCGCAGTTAGTTTCTTCAAATATATTTTTTTGTTACATGTTTTCGGAAAACCCAGAGAAAATCATATGGGGAAAAATTAAAAAAAAAATTACGCCTTCCGGTTTCCTGCGAATTCCCGAAAAATTATGGCAGATTTCGCCGCGGGACTTATTTTATTTGAGAGCCCACAAAAAAATACGCAACTTCTCTCATGGGCACATATGTCTAACATTTATAATTTCGCCACAAATTCATCGCAAATTTCATGTTCATGATTCTGATCAAAGAAACGAAAAAACAACTTTTTGGTAAAAGCACTTCTGGCGACGAGAAATTCGCCATTAAAACTACCTATGCAATGAAATTCCGAATTATTTTTGCCTCCTCTTTCGATTGGTGCATTTAAT